AGGTACTTGCATGTGGAAGCCAGAAGGGCCTTAGGTGTCTTCATCTCTGCCTGGCTGTCTTGGACAGGGTGTCTCACTGAACGGTAAATCCACATTCGGACTAGGTCATGTGACCAGTGAGCACATGCCTGCTACTCTGGCAGTGCTGGGGCTTCAGGCACGCAGGACCATGCTCAGATTCTCAGGCTCACACAACCCCACCGAGCTAGCTCTCCAGCTCCAATTATCTTATTGGAATTTCCTTCAAAAGCAGGGACCTCGAATCCTGACCACTGGGAAGACAGAGGATGGCAAATTCAAGATGTACCAGGGGAACTCAGCGTGACCCTGTCAAAGAGGAAGCAAGCCTGCAGGGTCCGAGATGGGTAGAGTGTATGGGAGTAGGATAAAGGTAAATAAGGTTGGGAGCTTAGTATGTGAGGCTCTGGGTTCAATCCCCAGTGGGGGATGGGATGGTTTACATCAAACAGAAGAGAAAGTGAAAAACCCAAGGTGAGTTGCCTCCCAGTCAGTGTTTGAAGATCAAGAACTCTGGGAGGGGTTGGGTGCTGAAAGTTGTTTATTTTACTTTTAGAGAACCGAATCTGGGTTCTAGAGCAAGGCCAATCCAAGTCCGAAGCCTGGTTTCTGTAGTCAGCTGCCTGCACTCAGACCAATCTCTCTCTCTCTGTGATCCTTACTTAGTCTACGCCTTAGTTAAGCCTGCCTTTGCTTTTGTGCAAAATGAGAATAATGCCACAGACCTGGCAAGGCAAAGGCAGCAGACACTGGTCTCACGGAATACATATTTACTGGGAGGCATCTTTTGTGGGTGCGGCTTTTATTAACGGACATGTCGTATTTTCTCAGCTTCAATACTTCTAAACTAAAGCACATACACAAGTTTCATTGTGTTACTGTCGGGAGTGGAAGTTTCTTTTTCCTTCTGTTGTCATAATTCCATACAGAAATTCCTAGTTTATAGTCAGGTCTCTCCAAAATCTTCCCCTCCATGCAGAATCATCTCAAAATCTTTGGGGGTTTCTGTCCATTAGGATATAAGCAGTTTCAAGGTTTCCCCATAACCCTCCTCCCCTCCCCCCTCCCCCCATCCTCTTGTCCTTATCTTCTCTTCCAGTCTGGATCCAGCTTCTTCCTCACCTGTCAGTCAACCATCCCCAGGAGCTGTCAATTCTGTTATCTCAACTTCTTCACCAGTTTCCCCTCCAAGGAAAGTGTCCCATAAACTGCTCTAGCTGAGGTCACCTCCCTGAGGTCAAACCAAAGGGCGGCTGTGGTACTGAGGGAACAGTCCCACCTCAGCAGACATCATTGCCAGGAATCTTAACCTGCCTCCTCCTAGGATGCCTCCTGGTTGCCAAGACTGCTGCCCCAGCTCTCCCCAGCCCTTAATACCGGCCTTCCCAGCGCTCCCCCAGCTCTTTGGCCTCATCTGTCCTAGTCACGATGCCTTCTGACGACCAGACCATGCTTATGTATTCCTAGGAAGTCCCTCTTGAATAATTTACGGGCATCGTGTCCAACACAGAAATCTTTACAAACCAGAAGGGCTTCCCTATTTTAGTAAAGGCTGCTATCTAATCAGGTCAGGAATTTGGGTTTAATCCTTCAATCCCCCCTTTCATCTAACATCGAATCAGCCCTCAAGCTTGGGGACTCTGCCTGCTAACTACTCTTGGGATTGTCCCCTTCTCTGTTGGCCCTGCCTTGGTTCTGATCACCACTGTTGCCTCCAGACTCCAGCCAGACCACCCCCACCTCCACATGGCACGTCTGTTCCTTGCCTGTCCTCTGCTTCAGACCCTGACTAGGATACCCAAGACCCCGGATGGTGTGTGTTGGGGAACAATAAATGGAAAGACGGTTAGCGGTTGAGTTGTGGAGGATCCCGTTATACTGATCATTTCCAAGCTTGCCTAGCTAGTCCCACATTGGGGGTGGCTGGGGTATTTCTAGTTTATGCTGTTATAAATAGACTTGCTAAGGATATTTTCTTTGTCCACTACTGGATGATTTCCTTGGATATTTTTTTAGGAATGGAATTGCCAGTGAAAGGCTATGATTAGCTCTAAAGCTCTCATTATACACTTCTGGCACTCAAAAGGCTGGGTTGGAGGGCCACTGCTTAAATGCCCTCTGCTACCTGAGAGTCTCTCCCGGGGCTCCTGGGCTTCTCCCTTCACTGAGTTAGTGGGTTGACAGTGCAACGTAACACTGTTAAAGTGTGTACTTTTCAGGTGATGATTTGCTGTGCACATACTCTTGACAAGCAGATTACCAGCTCAAGTGACACACTCCCCAGTTTGCAAACAGTTCTCTCTCCTATTTCATTTTGACTCAGAAACTTCAGTTTCCTTCTGACCAATTATAAAGTAGAGAAAATGAATTAAGTAAGAGCATGCCTGGAGTGGTAGGCGTAAATTTTAGGAAATTCTCTGCTGGGTCCCTTTGGCCTGCAGATGGGTTAAGAACAGAGCCTGTAGCTCACCCTCGGAGTTCCATGATGAATCCAGCAGTGGAAACAGCGCGGCCAAATGCCTGGGGGTAGGGAACCCGCAAATGCCCATTATTGTGACGGGACAGTATGAGTTTGGATTTCGGTTGGCTCTGGGTCCTAAGCATTCTATTTAGTCTATTTTGGTAGCTAAACTGAATCACAAACTTTTCATTTACTATGGGGAAAGGCAATTCATTTCAGTTCAGGTATTTCAGTGATCTACCTCATCCAACTGCCCCCCCCTTGTAAAGTGTTCCCCACTTTCCAACATACACACATCTGTGCTGACATCTGTATACACACACATCTGTGCTGACACCTGTACACACACACATCTGTGCTGACACCTGTACACACACACATCTGTGCTGACATCTGTACACACACACACATCTGTGCTGACATCTGTACACACACACATCTGTGCTGACATCTGTAGTACACACACATCTTGCTGACATCTGTACACACACATCTGTGCTGACATCTGTACCATGTGGTGTAAGGTACAATGAAGTCAAAGGATTCCCCTAGCTGAATTCTAAAATAATAAAAAGGAATATCCCTGTTCTCAAAAGCAAGCAAGGGAACTTTAGCTTCATATTTACAACTTAAAGACACTGATCCCGAGAAAAGGGAGGCAGTTTGTAGAAATATGATAATACTACATTAAAGAACAAATCAGAAAACCCATATAAAAAGACAATTACTTTCATCTGAATGCAGAATATAAAGTAAGGCACTCAATAAGCTTGTGAGAAAATGGCAATACCATTAAGTGCACACGCACTTTATTAAAGAAAGCATCAAACAATGCACCGCATACCACCACACACCGGCTGCCCCCACTACCTTCATATGGGCCGGGCAGCCAACAACTTGGAAGACTTTCCTAAGGGCACCTTCCCTAAGCATTTCCCTGGCCCGTGCTAAGCAGGTTTTACTCCTCGTTCAAAGACACAGGAAGGTAAGAAAGAGCCAACCATCTGTGTCTTCAGTGAAGGCCGTGCAGTCGCCCTGTAATTTCTGGCAATTGACCTCTGTGATTTGTGTTCTAGGATCTTCTGGCTGAAATCTAAAACATAGCCATTCAGTCTAGCAAGCCACCTTCTGTTTAGATGGCTGGTCCAAGGAACTGTTAGTTCAACTTTGAAATGGGATTTTTCTAAACTGGCAGAATGTCAGCAGAGTGTTTCTTTCTAAAGATAAGGACACTGGTGGGTTGGAAAGAGAAATTATTTACAAAACCACACTGGCACACCAAAAGATCACCACCCACCACCACCACCCACATACATACACATACACACATACACAATTTTGGAGACAGGGTCTCAAATGTATTTCAGGATGGCCTCCTACTCATGAGCCCCCCTTGCCTAGGCTTCTATGTGCTAGGATTACAGGTCTACACCATGATGCCTGGTTTGTCAATGTATTTATTTTTTAAACCAAATTAAAGGAACCCTGAAAGTGAGTTTCTTTTTATTTTTTTAAACAGGGATAGAGAGCACAATATGAATAACTCGATAGTGACTCGAGTAATTTTGTTCATATAAAATAATAGACACATACATCTATTCTACCTGAATGCTATGTGTGCAATACATAGTGACACTTGTCTGTTCTCCTTTATTAGTTGGATCTTTCTGAGTCTAGTAATCACACACGTCTCTGCATTTTAATCACCCCAGATCCATTTAATGGGGCAACTATTTAACAGCCCAAGGACTAGATAACAGGCTTCGGTCAAGGTATCAGTAATGCTCAAATTCTTTCCTTTCCTACTCGATTGTTGTTATTTTAGATAGGGTCTTTCTATGCAGCCCAGGCTGGCTTTGAATTCATGACCCCCCTGCTTTAACCTCCTGGATGCTGGGGTTACAGGTGTGCAACACCATGCCTAGGTTTCCTGTGTTTTTAACTGAGTGGCTCACAGCACAGGTGCCCTTAGACACCTCTTCTGAAGCCTTTAGAGTCAGAGGCAGGGCAGATAAAAGGGGAGGGATGGAGTTTCTTTTCTCTATTTGATGCAACACTAGACCCCTTAAAGTTCCAGTGTCTGGTCATAGGTGAATCACTTCTAACCTAACAGTCTCTTTGATCTGGAAATCTCCTCTTCCCCACACACCAGCCATTGCCAGCAGACCTTCCTTTCCTTTTTGTCTTCTTTTTTTTTTTTTTTAAAGATTTGTTTATTTATTATACACAGTGTTCTGCCTGCACCTATCCCTGCAGGCCAGAAGAGGGTGCCAGATCTCATAACAGACAGTTGTGAGTCACCATGTGGTTGCTGGGAATTGAACTCAGGACCTCTGGAAGAGCAGCCAATGCTCTTAACCTCTGAGCCATCTCTCCAGCCCCGATCTTCCTTTTCTAAAGCTGTCCTTATGTCTGTTCCCATGAGACTGTCTGTGAAGAGGCCTGCGTCAGGATGAGTGTGGCAAAGCCCATCCACCAGCCATATTTCCATGCTGAGCCTACGCAAGACCTGGACCCTCACCTGAATGAGGAGATCGGTAGCGGAAATCCTCTTTGGTCAGTAGCAGGAGCGCCTTGCCGTTCATCTCGAACGTGTTGCTCTCAATGGGTCTTAAGGAAAATTCGTTCTCTGCCCACTTGAGCCACTGGCCTACGTCATCTCTGCTCCAGTAAATCGGCTGCAAGCCTGTTGGAGAGCAAGAGGCAGAGAGAAAAGAGCTTGTCGGTTACATGGTTGGGACAAAGGGAGAAAGAAAGGTCTTGGAATAACTAACAGAACTGAGACTTTGTCTCAGGAGCCTTCGGGTTGAGTTCCAAGGCCCAAGTTTGTAAGTACTCAAGTGTGGTCCACATTAACTTTTTACTTAGAGACAAAATGAGGGTAACCCCCTTTCCATGGTCTCAGGGATGATAGGTCTTAGAGGCCTGCCTTTGGAACTGCACTAAGGTCAGGTTGGCTCTAACGTGGCCTGGGGGCAGCCTAGGAGAACTGGAATCATGACAAATCTCAATGTGTTTAGCAGGAGACCTTAGACTCAGAGCTAATGTGATTGTAGCCCAGAGTCTTTGAAATGGAAGTGTTCCAGAGCTGGCCTTGACCCCCCAGAGCTGCCAAAGAATGAAGCATCCCCTGAAATCTTTTCCAGGAAGAGTCATTTACTCAGCCTCTGGGAAGTGGCAGGCTAGCCTCTGGCCAATAAAAAAGCCAAAGGAACACAGATGGTCCTCTGCCTTATTATTTGTCTTGCTGACGGACTGCAAGTGGGCTAGATGCCACCAACAATGGTTCAGGTTGCATCTCTGGGAGGCAGAGTCCGTATTTTAATTTCACTTTGCTGCTATGGGGAACTTTGATACATCCTTTAAGTGATTACAACAACAGTTCTCAAAGTGTGAACCCTGGGAACCTGAGGGTTCCCAAGACCCTTGCAAGGTGTGCAGCAAAACCACTCCTCAGAACAATATTAACATCATTTTCTCTTTTTACTCTCATCCTGTCATGAGCACACAGGGAATGCTCTAGGAGCTACATGACCTGTGGCATCATAGCAGGCTGAATAAATACAGAGATGTAAACCCAGGCATCTACTAACCTGGACATTGAAGAGGTCTGTAAAAGCATATAACACTATTGTTGTTTGCACATATCTTTTGAAAATATACTTTAAATATATATTGATATATGCCCAGTTTGTTGATCAGTAAGTTAGTAAATACTTTAAAAAGTAGTTTACAATATGGTAAGTGTTGCTGTAAGTCGTATGAGCAAAAGCACTTGCATGGTGGGGGCGGGGTTTGGGGAGAACACTCTTTGGAACTTGAGTCCTGACAGGTCTTCAGGGCTCCATTCTCCAAAGTCACAGAACCAAGAGTTCAAAGAGAGCTCAGTGGGACCAGAGTTTGTGCAGAGATGTGGTGCATGTCGTATAAACGTGCCCTCCAGCTGAACTGGGCATGGAGAAGTACTGTCTAAACTCTTGGCTGCCCAGGCTGCTGAGAGTCAGAAACAAATGGGTCAGATCCCAGGGAGAACATTCTAAGCTCTGACTGTGATTGCTGGCTCTGCCTTCCAAGAGGAAGATGGTTTTGAAGAATACAAGTCAGTTTAAGTTCCCAGAAGACTCGGGAGTTTACAACCAGCCAATTGGAGGGTAATGCAAGCAAGGCCATGCATGGCTGCCTGGGCTACAGAGTGAGTTCAAGGCCAGCCTGGTAACTCAGTGCGAGCCTGTCTCAAGACCAAAGAGGGCTGGGGTTGTTGTTCAGTGATAGCATGTGTGAGGCCCAGAGCTCATTCTCTGCTACCATAAAAGCAAAACCACCAATCCAACCCAAACTCAAAGAAGGAGAGTGTGCTTTCTCGGCTTTTAATTTTTACAGCCATGTTTTCTCACGTGGATGAAACAAGCTGGTGTTAACATGGGACTGCTTTATGACAGTTAGAAGGGAACAGGACTGTTAAAGGACCCGAGGTTTGGTTTGAGTCTCTCGACTGATCAGAAAGCAAAGCCTATCCAAAATTGTTTATGGGCGTAGAAAGCGTCCACCTCTTCCTAGCAGAGGACAAATCTATCCTATTTGCTCAGCCTTCAACTTTACTTCCCACTGTCAACGGTGCCCACTTGGGACAAGAACAGCACGCCAACTTGTGACTTCAGACGTTACTGGTAAGTGGGAGGGTAACCCCATCAGGGGATGGGTGGAGGTTCCAATCAGGCAGCCACAGGAAAGCACCTTGTGGCTGGAGGGCTTTTTAGGCCACGCAGGGAACCGGTCTGGGGCAGCTTGCTGGGATGTCAAAGTAAATACAGAACCAAAGCCTGCCTAGGAGGGGAAATGAATGCAAAATGCTGACTTTCTACCAGGACAAACTGAAACAGAGAGGTGGGTGAGAAGGGGGCGGGGCCACAAGCAGGAATTTGAGGTTCTTCATATTCTATGGAAGAAAATCCTCATGAGTCATCCTTTCCCTAAATACAAGAAGAGGCACACACTCCCAACAACACTGCTGGGTAAGAATAACAGTTTCTCTTCTCACTTCCCATTAATCTCTCCCACAGCTCAGCCTTGAAGCTACCAAGGCCGCAGTGCTGTGGAAATCCCCTCCCCAGGAGCCCATGAGGAGGCTCTGGGCACATGTACAGCTGGGCAGCGGGTTACAGAGAGCACTTGGCAGCTCAACAGCAGCGACCCTGATGCTGCTAGCAACCTGCTGGAGGACACTCAGGGAATCGATCAGCTTCACTGCACTTCCATTAGCGGAAGGAGATGGTGGACAGCTCACCGAGCCAGAGACAGGCTGGCTGTGCAGCAGCGTTGACAGTCAAGTCCCTCTGCTGTTTCTTTTTTAATTCAATGGTACAAAAAGGCCAGGAGATAGCATGTGCTATGCAATTTTAACAGAGGAAAGAGAACCCACTCCCTTCAAGGGTCCTAAAGCCCGGATACTGAAGAGTCTAATGGAACAGAGGTGGTACCCGGAAGTAACTCTGGTGTGATGGAGACCATTTCATTTACTAAAGTCATTTATGAAGCACATCCATGCACCCAGCACTGCTCAAGCACTTCAGAAATATCAGTCTATTTGTCTGCACACTTGGACAACATTTGCGATGGAGGGGCAAACTAGGAAATAGAGGCCCGATGCATTTAAGACTCATCCCATGCTTGTACAGTTCTAGCAACAAGTGGGGCTGAGATCGGAATCCAGAGTCTGTTTTCTTACCCAGGCATTTTCCATCCACACTCAGAACTAAGATTGGCTTTCAAAAAGACGAGGAAGCCGGCTCCTTCCCACCCAACACTGAGATCCTTGGCCGAGGCAAGTTATCAGCAGATTGAAGATAGGAAAAAAAAAAAAAACCAACAACTCTGCAGATCCCAGGGAGACAGATTTATGGCTAGGAAGAGGAGGGAGGGGCAGGTGGGATGCTACTTTGAATGTGTCTGGGAAGAGTGCTGTTTTCACAGGCTGCTCAGTACTGACACTGGTTCTTGACTTTTTGCCCAATTCTCCACTGTGGGTGGGACCAAGGGTGCCTGGGAAGGGAGGGAGTGTAGGATTTGTTTCACAGTCAGTGCTGGCAATTTGGTTCAACCAGGAAGGGAGAGGGAAAGAGAGAGAGAGAGAGACACGAGAGTCATGTAACTATGACCAGTATTCTTAACACACTAAGTAACTTAAGAGAGTACTTGGTGGGAATTTTGTATGGAGGAACTGAATTTCTGTGAATGAGAAAATTGCTAAGACTCCCATTGCCTTCTTTCCTAATGAGGTCCAGTCAAGTTCATGGGCTTCGCCCTTCAGTGGTACATCTAGACTACTGATTTCTTCAATTCCATATTCAAAGATGGCCACCACATCCATCGGGGCATCCTCAGCTCATGTCCAACTTTCTGAGTTAAACTTAAACTAATAATGGAAAGCTCATCAGGAGTCAGGAGATGGGATTCCATTCCCACACCTGCTGCTAATGATCATGGGATTCTAGGAAGCCCATTTCTTTCTCTGTGGCTCAATGGCATCATCTGTAAAAGCTTAGAGTATGTGATCAACTAATTCCTGCAAGGTTTAATATGGCCAGTGTGTATCTACTGAATTTGAACCTTAAACACGAAACAATTCAGCCAGCCAAGGTGTTTGATTTCCTACAAAACTACATTTGTGATCATGACCTAAAGATGTTATAACTTCTTGAAGGCTCATCTGTGTCATGGAAGGCGGACTAGTGCTTCAGAGTGTGTTGCTGTGTTCCAATTCTTTGCAAAGCTGTCTGCCAGCATGGCAATAATAAACACAACAGCTTGCCCCTTTGAAGTCCACAGGTGCTTCCATGTGTTACCTCCTTTAACTGACAGGAGCCCTGTAATTGGCTGGGTTCTTAGTTCAGTTTAACAGATGCGGAAATGGAAGGCTCAGAGTTGATGGGCATGGTTTGAATATTATTATGCTCAAGTTCCTTTGCTGTGTGTGTGTGTGTGTGTGTGTGTGTGTGTGTGTGTGTGTGTGTGTGTGTGTGTGTGTGTGGTACTTGCAATGGAACCTGGGGCCTCATACATGTTTAGCAATTGCTCTATTGCTGAGCCCCCCTCCAGCTCCCAGCTCAAGGCCTTTCACCATTACAGACTTTGGCAAAGACATCCTTTCATGTCAAACTCTCTGTATTTACAGGAGTTTGAGCAGAAGTGGAGAATGGGAGGGATGAAGATGTCACAGAGATGCTCTGACTCAACCCTGGTCTCCATGACTGATTAGGAAACCAAGGCCTGGAAAAATTAACCATACCATGCCTAGTTAACCCACCCCAGGGATTCACGAGATCTTATCACTTGACTCTATGACAGCATCTTTATGATCCTTGACCCAGCCATGTCCAGTGACTAATTCCTTCCTTGATTGGTCATCTTGCTTTAAAATAAGCAGTTCAGAACTACAGTTTTTAAGAGCCCGCACACTTGTGTTTCCCTAACTCCAGCACAGGAATATGTTTTGGGTCTATCTTTGCCTTGGCATTACAGTTCATTGACAATGAAGTAGACCATTACTGAACTCTTTTGTTTTTTACGAGTCAGGGTTTCTCTGTATTGTTTCGGAGGCTATCGGTCCAGCCCGGCCTCGAACTCACAGAGATCCGCCTGCCTCTGCCTCACGAGTGCTGGGATTAAAGACGTGCGCCATCACCGCCA